AAGATGATATTGAAGATGTTGAAGATCACATTGTTTATGCGTTACTGATTCAATTGCCGACTTTCACTGACAATGGATATTCCTGAAAAGAGGTAATTACGATACCAATCAAGACATAAGACAAAGCGCTGAAACACTTTGTAATCACGTATATACTTTTATTCGTATTTATTCAAAGTATTTCAAATATTCTTTGTGATGAGATTTTAACTCAAATAATCGGAGATATGGCAAAGTAAAATGACTTGCAATGACATATTTTGTGGAATCAAAAAGTGTATGATGTATGATGATTACGATTTTTCTCGTTGTTGAGTGTAACTAAAATAATATTCATGCCTCTAAGGCAAAAACTATTTTACCATTTCACGACAAAAACACTTGAATATCATTTTGAGTTAACAAGAATTTGTAGATTCAATTCATTAATTTAGTTTATTGCTAGAGGCAGCAAAGTAGTATAAGGAAGGTAGTCTATTCAGTGTGTATGACTCAACATAGAAATATTTGTTGGTGTTTTCCAGCTGACACGAACAATTTAGGGTAGCTGTGACAAATTGTGTCGTGAACATTATTTTTCAAATTGACTGTTAATAGTATACACTGTTCCCGTCATAATGAGTATCGGTGCGGTGAACATAAAAGAAACCAATGCACATAACAGCGGCGTAATTTGTTTTTGCACGTGGATATTTAGTTGTGCATTGCCGTTTTCATGCTAAGCGGAACTAGAAATCGCGACGATTTCCGGTAATCTGAGTCGTAGTCATGCACTAACACGACCATGTACAGAAAATCATCTTGAAGGCACTATCTGACAATTAAATTACTCACACTGACTTCCCGGGGTGTTTACTGACGTGCTCGCTATTTTCATAGTGTTGCCGTAGCTACTGTTGCTTTAACAGTGGATCATTTATTGTATTATCTAACAAAATTAGATTACATCGACTAAACATCAGCCTGTGAACCACAATACCACAACAATATCCGTGCTAGTGGATAGACATATACAAATTGATATCGATAAAACAGCAGACACCGTTTTCAAAACCACAACGGAAAATGTGCAAGACCTCCTAGGAGGCAGCAATATGAAATACAAATATGGGCATGGTCGTCATATTTATTATTCGGGATAACTATGTGATTATAGCAAAGGCTGCTTATCAGCCTAGTTCTCTAAAGCGTCTTTTGTCCGAAACGTCAAGTGATTCTAACGGATTGTACATAAATATAAATTACCGCTTGTATACAAAAGTCAAAGGTTACTCTACATTCATAAAAATGCTTTTGTATGAAATATTCCAAATGTATGGCATACTAATGATTTTCTGATATAGTATACTTATGACTAAACATAGATGCACTAAATCATGATCACTCAAGCATGCACGCATACATGTTTCAATATTTATGTAATTTCTACGTGAAGGACACATTCGGCGTCTTTGAAATTGTTTCTAAACAAATAGATATCGAGATATAGACATCGCACTCACGTACGTATTTCCCTGTTTAATCTTGTATAGTACACGCCAATGATTCATGTAAATCGTATTACAGCCATACATTAATAATGATATATTCATTTTCTAATATATAAAAAATACATGCCACTAATAATATATACATCTCACTTGTAAATAATGCACGATTTACAACTTTTCTGGCACCCTATCCACGCGTGTGAATATAAACTGAAAATAATACAGCTTATTATTTTTTTTAATATTAGCCATTGTGACAGTATATCGGACGTATTGAAGTGTGTGCGCAGCATGGCATGGCAAAAAATCAGTTATGCATGTTACAAATAGAACATTAGTGATTAGCTTCGGTTACCAGGGGCAACAATCATATATAATAATAATTTATTTTTTAACAAATTTAGCTCATTGTAATAAATGATTGGGCGAAATTAACTGACATGGATATCTATTAAATCATCCATTTTCCTGATTAATTTTGACGAAATGGACATATGTCGAACTAGTATGTCGAACATGTGCGTTGATTAGGAAGGTGATCAAAATCAAACCAGCGGTTTCAGGCCCGGGGAGCCACTGTATCGTCTGTAGAGCTCCGCCGATTTCACTACTTAGTTTCCAATTAGGTCACCCGTAAATGACATTTTTCTGTTCAAATACGAGCAGGTTCAACTAGAAAATGTAACTGCCAAACGTCTGTGTTCGAATAATTAATAGAAATTGATTCAAAATTCAGGGAGCCGAAATTTCTGTCCTGTTTAAGAATTCCAATTTGTTTTAGTGCCAGTGCGTCAACGAACGCATCTCAATTACATTCACGCGTAGTGACGATGTAATGAATTACGGCGTTATAAAATCCCATTGTTACTATAATTAAAGCTATGAATATTTGTAGAATGCGGGCGTAGTGGTATAGTTTAAACTCTAGAAACTGTGTACCGCCGATCCAGCGTGTTATCAAAGTTGCATAGTTACGATGTCATTAATTACGGCGTTATATAATCCCATTGTTACTATAATTATAGCTGTGAATATTTGTAGAATGCGGGCGTAATATTTTACTTTGTAAACTGCTTACCGCAGATCCAGCGTTTTATCAAAATTGTGAAGTCACGATGTTATGAATAATAAAGACTGTTATTCTACATTTTATTTTTCCGGTTAATGATGATAGTCTTTTAAATGAGTATGTAAAAAGTGAGTTTAATAGGAACGAAATCTCGAATTTGAGAATTATTGATCTTGCTCTATAAGTGAAACATTTCTGATACCAATCTCTACATCGCATTCATTTTGGAAGCATAAACAAACTTATCTATGCAAACAGTTGCTGTCTGTACTTTCATATGTATATGTATAACGAACTTCTACATCCGGTAATGTTTTGAAATTGACAAATGTGGTCTTGGAAACAGTATTATTACGTGACTTAGAGAAAGTCGCTGAAAGGTATTTGAACTTCTGACCTAAATTTAGCAAGGACACATAGTTCCGTTTTGTCATCAAAGTGTGAGTTTTTATTTCAGTGCGATCCACTAAAGTTCAATCAGTGCTAGCTATAACGCATGTCTTTCGATGTTTACAGCGGTAAAACAACGTTACACAGCAAATATTTACGGCAAGCAATTCTGTGAAATCGACGCTTTGATAAATAAGCAAACACAATATTTACGCGACGCTAAGAAATAGGTCAGCAGAAACCTTTATACTACGATGTCCTTAAAACGTACGAGCGTTCATGATTCATTTTTAATTTAAGTTTTCTATTTTTTATACAGCAATTCATGTTCTTTTTGAGTTTTGACAATCGGTTTTCAATTTGCTCCAGTCCACCCGCGAAAAGGAAGCGCTGCACTGAATTGTCAGCTTATGAATATTCTTGCATATATTTGCATATTGCGTGGAGCTCCGGGGAGCTCCCCGGAGTACAAAACATCTCCCCGGAGCTTCCTGGAGCTCCGCGGATACTGGGCCGGGAACCGTCAGTGTTTTTGTTTTTGATCACCTCCCTTAATACGTTACAGCATAATTTGATATGATAACACGTTCTAACTTTCTATTGTTGGTTTACGGTCACTTGATTGAATGATTGAAAAATTAGCAAAACGGACTCTAGCGGGCTATTATTAATAATTAGTAAAATATTATAAATATGGTAATACGACAAGCAATTTACTATATATAACTTAAATTATTTAGTGACTTGAACATACCAGATTTCTTATACCAAGTAATCATATGACGTCATCGCCGTGGCAGTATATATAGTATTGGTCCATCAATAGGAAGTGAACAAATAAAGACATATTATAAAATAAGTTTAATATATTTATTGAAAACAACACAATGCCATTCAGATGTGAATATAAATTAGATGGTGTCAAATATGTTATTATTTGTATTACATTTATTTCAAATGTACGTGCATTGCGTTTGTATCTATTTAGGCATTTAATTTCCAAATGCAGACGCGATTAAACGCGATTATTGGGAATTGTTGGTTATAAATTGCGTAATTGACCAGTTATGTACGCGATTAATACATTCAGGAATACAATCTATAATCAGTAGACATGTATCTAGTATTTTCTACGGGAATCATCATTAAAAACTGTGAAATATAAATTATGAAGTTCATTAAACCTTCAACCATGCGGGTAACGAAAATTTACATTCAACGAAACGTATTTATATGTGAAGTGGAAACTCATATTTAAGGTTTGGTACCCAACTGTTACACACACATTATACACATCTATGTTTATCCCATCTATTTCTTTTCTAATGTCGAAGTGAGCTGATTCATATTGAATGGGAATGCATTAATATAAGATGTACCCAGGCGTCTTCAAATATTATTTCACGGCGGTACTGTTTACGAAGACGGCTTTGGGCTATGGTAGCTTTAAGTAGTAAAATAATAAAACTAAATTACTAATAATTTCCCTCCCAATGCGAAATGATGCCTTCTTGCACTGTATAGAGTCTAACCCGTGTTTCTGTGTGTGTTGAAATACTCACATTATAGATAAATGCGTATACAAAAAACTTCTGTAATTATTGATAGTATCCTCAACGATAAAACGATGCCACGTCAGTACACCTTATTTATACTGCATCCTATATTAACGTACAAGCAAACAATGATGCCGTAAATAACATGAATTGTTGAATAGTTGTAAATGTAAGTTTAATGCTATGTGAAGGGAAGTCAACGCGAAATAATATGGCATTGGTGTCCCGTATTTAGTGCTCTTCTATTGTTTCCGACATCACTCGGTGTTTTTCGCTGCTTTGTAACCGTGGTCACGTCATACTTTTTCCGTTTACATTGCGTAGCGTTTCTGATAAGGTTTCGGAAGGCGGTTCTGAAACTAAGACAGTTCCTTGCATATATAAAGGGATTGAGAGCGCTGTTCATATAAGCCAGCCATTTTAAAAGACGCAATACTTGCTTTGGTATGAGCAAGCATTGGTACCCACAAAAACCTATGTGTAACTCGGCCGCCATTAGAGGTAACCAGCAAATACAAACGCACCGAGGACAATGGACAACATCTTTACTGCCCGGTATTCATTCCTTAGATCTGACATGTCAGTTCTCCCTTCAGTAATTGCTCCAGGCTCATCTACATTACACTTGTCAAACGCCCCTCCATGATGGATTCTCATTTCAATCTGATCCCCGTTACTTTTTGATTTAGATACACTGAGTCGGCCACTTCGTAGGGAGTTTATTTGATTAGTTACAGTCCGGAAAATCATCACGTAAACGAAAATCATAATAATGCTTGGAATAAAAAAAGATAGCGATACAACCATCAGAATATAATTACCGTCATCTGTGAAGGTGCATACGGCAGGACGGTGAAGCGATATTTTCACAGAATGCCACCAGACGATGCATGGATACGACATACCTAGTGGGATAATCCACGCAAACGCAATCATGCCTGCTGCTGTTTGCGAACTCATGAACCAACGGTGAGTCAGTGGGTATTGGATCGCAATATAGCGTTCCAATGATATCATGGAGAGATTCATTATTGACGCGGTACCACTGAGAATTTCAGTGGCCATCCAGAAATCACAGGCAATATGCCCCAAATACCACTGTCCCCCAGCTATATCGTTTACAATCGCCAACGGCATCGTGATCAGTCCCATTATCAAATCAGCAATAGCTAATGAGACAATTAGACTGTTTGTAATTGTCCGAAGAGATCTGATCCGAGCAATGGCAACGACCACAATCGTGTTACTAACCACTGTCAAAATAGCAAGTATCGATAACAGCAATCCTAGGAAGATCCGTAAAGGCAGTGGAAGATTCAATCCTGCATCGTCTTGCATGGTGATTGCAGTCGGAATTGTCACATTGACAATAACTGAAACGTTATCCATAGTGTATAAGGCTACAACGTAAAATTAGCAAAAACTAATATACATGTCAGCATCCATTTGAAGGTGTTATGGCGGTGAAATGTTATCAGCAATTACGTTAGACAGTCGACTGCGCGGTTCATTGGCGGAACAGCCTATTACTGGTTCTATTTATAGACAGCAATGTCAATTCATTGAATGTGTACAGCGATAAATGAGATACTACACCACGCATGGTACACCATGCCAATAAGAACATGTGCATGTTATATTTGGAACTCACGTGACAAACTTCACAACAGATGATTGGCAGAGTATACCCATGAATTATTCAGTCTGTGCGAACCTGTCATGGTAAATACTCCTATCACAGTTGAACGTATTCTCGCACGACATGGCTTCATGGCTTCTGGAATAAAAAAAAAGAGAGGACAATTGAAATTTAAAAAGTGCATGGTTATCCTGTAAAACTTCACATTCATTTAATGAGTAATACAATTCAATACAACATAACACGATGCATTTCTGACTGCGTATCATTGAGTCAATGACCGAGTAATACAATGGGATACAATAGACTCATCAATTCGTCGTATGTAGATACATAAGGTAATTATCAGCGACCTTTTACGCAATTCTACAGTACATGTTTACACGTATTTTGCGCTTTTACGATTTTGATCACATACCAGATTTGGGACATATAAAATTGAAATTATATTTCCAACATTAGTGTTCGAACCACCGAGTACGGTCTATATGAAAGTAACCCCTTTTGTTACTAATGGCTTGCTGGAGTTAAGGTATATCACTGCAAATAAAAATGCAATGAACGAACCCCCCCCCCCCCCGGCAGCAGAACATATGTGATATAGGGTAAGTGTTATTTACTGATTTACAAATAAATACATCGGTTTTACTATAGCATAACTCACTATGTGGTAATTTAGTTGTGAAATATGATAAAACACATTGGTGTCAGATGAACCGATTGTTTCATAGAATTACCTCAATATATTAGCCAAGGCAGCTTGTAACCTTCAAAGACCCAAACAATATTTCACATGCAATTCATGTTATCCTTTTAACTGAATAAGTTAGGAAAAAACACAACACATTGTAATACTCTTGTAATCATCATTATCGATGTATATTTTATTCAATGCCTTGACGTTCGGTAGTCTAGGGGTACGAACATGAATAGCTACCATGTGGTGAAAGCGCGCATAATGAAGATATACTTTATTCCTGTATATACACTGGGGTTCTTTCTAATGTACAGAACGTCCGAACCACAGCTGATTTGATCACTAACTTTAGCGAGCTCAGGATGATGACATAAACATTTTAATATAACTGATCGATTCGCTGACAGTCTATTTGACTGCAGCTCCACTAATCGAGCTGATGTAACTCTTTTCTTTCTGGCTGTCATAATGTTCCTTCCTAGTCGAAAACAGTTTTTACTCTTGTAAACACAAGCGAACACTTTGTCATAGGTCGTTCATAGTTCAAGCTCATTGTTAAGTCGAGAGCTGTTTCGATTGAACAATCATTAACAATCAAATGACAGGTGGCATGTTACACACGTCCACCAATGTAGAGCTGACGTAGTATAGAATCAAAGCCATAAAGAATTATAATAAGATGATACTATTCACGTTATTATCTTTGTCTAATTTGTTGTGGCATACCATAATACCATTAACGTTATTATTTCCAGGCTTCTTGTATCATAAAACAGCACAATATTATTCATGTATATTCTAAGTACTATTAGTTGTCATTAATTTATCTATCACATCCTTGACGACATAAGAGTTTGAATATTACCTTTTCTATATGATACCCTAACTTGGCTGTAAACGTAGCTTTCAAAAGGCACGCCAACTACAAATCATCAAATAAACTCTACGCCATTGCTGACTTCACCTGGTCGAGTTAGAAAATGATACGTCAATTTATGTTCGGGAGATAAAAATTGAAAATCAAAAAGATTTTTATATTACAGAGCGCCGATTTATACCCAGTAACCAGGAAACACCGACTGATTGACGAGTCAACTAGCTACAAAGATCTGACAGCAAGGAAATGAATGGGTGTCTAGCCTGTAATTCAGAATGTAATCACGTCTAGTGCTTTCACATCTGATTGCTTTGTTATACCTAATTGAGTTATGTGAATTTATACCGTTAGGTCTGTAGCTAACTGTAGCTGTACAGTTTGAAGTTTTAATTTACATAGTGAATTAAACATATAATGAATGTCATTTGATTTTGGTAATGTCATATCATATTTCACAAAGACGTCAGAGGCAATGCCTTCGTAACATATTAGACATTTAACGTATCCCACAAACAAATGCCATGTATAAAAATATTAAAATATTTATTATTAATTATTCTGCACGGGCTGGATGTCAAAATACTTTATTTTTTTTCGCATATAACTACTATATCGTATGCACCTTTATACTGAACAATGACTAATTTTCATTGGGTTTAAATTTCACTGATTTAGCATTTCAGGCATATTCAGTGAGTTTATCAGAAAGATGACATTTTTACATTGGCGAAAATTAATCAATGTTTATACTACTATATAGTGACTCTACTATTGGCGGCATAATTCGATGATGCGTATCGTATATAATAAAACCATGCAGCGTCAAAGTATATATATATATATATACAAATTTGCTAACGCTTCGCATTTTGCGAAGGACTGCATTGCAAAATTGTTCTTGTTTGAATGACAATTTTCAGAACGTTTTCCATTTACAAGTGGCTCATTGTGCTTCTAACGCTTCGCTTGAATTTTTTATTCCATAATCCCGTTCAAACGTTTTGCCATATTTTTTTTTTATTTTGGTATGTCTGCACAAGCTGCGGGCGACGACATTTTATAAGGTATGATATGATACATATGACGCGAACATGAATAACAAGAAATAAAAAAAATAAAAAAAAAATAAACTAAATCATTTGCGATGCCTAAGCACATGGTAACAACATGTGTGGCCACTGATAACGAATTCGCATATTTCATGAAATCATTGCCTTTGTATTCAAATAACTATATTTCAAATTCATCTAATAGTGAATCTCTGAGCATATCATAGGTTTTATCTAGATTTGTGAGAATCAGACATATATTAACTCAGTATAAACTGTGCCCAGAATAGACAAATACGACATGCCATTACTCTATAGACGATACAACTGTGTGTATTTTATTTCCGATACGCACACAACGTATCCAAATCGGATGGAATATCCTGCCTTAATAATTTATATTTTATCTCAACCCTTCAATATAACGAATCGTGCAATTATATCTCTCTTTGTGTATTCAGTTTTGTAATTGCAGTTGTTATGGCAACACACTATATACATATCTTAGATGTGTATATTCCCATAAAAAAATAATCTGCTGCAGTAATGTACTGAACGAACATTCATTTAAATTGAGCCCTTCGGCAATCGACCACTGTGTTTGTTGGTGGAGTAATTCGTCGTCTAGAATATAATAAAATCTCTCAACAAATTAATCTTCATTTATAGAGCTAAACTGTAAGATTTTAATAGCTTTCGTGTCAACTATTTACGTCAAGGAAACGCATCGTCACTAGATAGTACAATTCATAACTGATGTGTTATTATTAACAATGAATCGATCAGACATGTAAATTACAAAATATGATTTAGATGAAAGATCAGTTTGGGTTTGGGTTTCACAGTCATCGATTACATACATACCAGCAACCTAATAATATAACAGCCTTGCTGTACCGGCAGTTAAACAGTTGTTTAAAACGGTAATTCTTAAAACGGTAAGTCAGTGACCATGCCATATTTGTGTAACTAAAATAGAATAAGGGTACACATTGGGTCAAAATAATAAAATGTGCTAATTAAAACCAGTAGTGAATTATACTTCAGAAAAATTCGGAAATGTGTACACTCCTGTATTCCATTGAACTGCCATGATCAATCTATATAGATGGTCACACAAGTGAAAGATATATCTTTTGTTTACATGTTTGCCAACTACCGTACAATGTACATGTCGACGCATGACGTCATTTATTTACATTTGTTTCAACCAGTTTGCGAATTTCGAACAAAAAATTGCGCAAATGTATCAGTACTAGCTCATTACCCGCAGTTACAGGGCAGACAAAATAAAACGAAGTAATTACGCGATCGTATCTAAGAGGGCGGACATTTGTCAACTTCATCTTCGACATAGTAAAGGCAATATAATCGAAAACAAGTTGTCAAAAGACAGTTTCTTAATGTTATTTTATTCATAAATAGTTGACGTCGTACCATAATAGTGTTACGTGTATTTATTTGTATATTTGGGATGAAATATCGTTACGAAAATACATACACATTATTTGAGGCACGTATTGCTTTTTTTGATTATTTACGGTTGAATTAAAAATAATTCTAGTTACACATGCTTAAATAACAAATGTATTGAATGGGCTTTATGGTGACGGTTATCGTGTCATTAGTAAAAACAGGTGCTGCCACATATGACCCCGTGGTACAGTAGTAACACAACATATGTAGCATTTCATATGAACACACCGCTATAGTGATTACTGGTAAACATGGTGGTTTTGGAAAAACTGCAAAGATATGGTCCTCGGCATAAGACCCTGGTTAGAGCAATGGTATTATGCTTTGTGATATACAGCCTATACTTTCTTGGTTTTAACGAAACGTATCAGTAAGTACTTGCCATGTGATTGTCTAACACAACAAACGTTATAAGTGTGTACCAATCTGATTAGGACTGAGGCGGGGGTTTACATATATCCCAGTGTCTCTCATACATATACATATGTAAATGGGAAAATATGTGTTCATCCATCCTGAAAATCATTATGCATAATCGCTCGCAGTTTTACGACGCACGAAACAGTTACTGGTTTATAATAACGGCAGCCATATTCTAGTCTACTTTTAAATGGTTTCGATACGATATTGGGTATGGTTGTTACGAGTATTTATAACATAATAATGTGGACGATGATATTAAAGATGATCGATGTCAGTGATTTGCCTGGAAAATGTGTCTATGCCAATCGAGCTTATTATCACAAAAACATACGTTTGTGAATTCTGGCTGGGAAGAAAGAGACGTATACGTGGCTATGCTATAGTTACTCGTTGTAACGTGTGGTTCAACTACACATTACCAGTGTACGTGTTAGGTGAAACGTTAATAACACCGGATCTCTCAGTTTTTATTATTTACTACACAGCTGGTGTATTCATATGCGTCCATGATCGTGTGGAGTGAATACAAATTCACCATTCAAGCACCAACAGACAATATTAGTCTTTATGATCACACAACAGGTTATAATAACGTTTTTATTTATTGGCATTATTATAGTGCATGAAAGCCGTGCAGCATTTAATAGGTTTTGGGTATAAAGCGCGTGGTAAAAATAATATCTGTTTTCGGGTACCGAAGTTAAGAATATTAGAACAAAATAACAAATCCCAAGCATGGTCGTGGATTTTGAGACAAATTTCAAATGGGTAAATCCATAGAAACAACTTTGGGTAATCCCGATTTGTATTTGCTGTTGATAATTTACTTGAAAACACCTTTCACTCAACCTATCAAGAATGTGTTTTCCTCAAAAATTCATATTCTTTAGTAGTGTATATTCTTAATTAATCAATAATTACCGTTTATTCGGCAGATCTATTGACGAACATAGTCATGAAGTTGCACAGAACGATGCCATCGTGCAACGTTCGAAGTTAATGTCCGCTGGCAACAGAGTATTCAACTGGAAACCTAAGGTGACCTCTGATGATACAAGCTCAAAGTGTCAGCCACAGAGAAAGTTGGTTTACCTCAGACTCGTAGAGACCAAGTGCTACACATTTGGAAATATACTTAACCGATTTGGGTATCACAATGGACTCACGTTTGTATTACCAGATACTTCAAGATCAGCTGTATTCGACTTTACCGAACCCCTGAGTGAAACTATGATTGCACCGTTCAACACACATGACTACGATTTACTGGTACACTTTGCCCGGTACAATCATTTGTTAATGCACCAGCTGGTTCCCAACGCACGATTTATTACAATGATACAAGAACCTTCACGGCAATTGAGAGCATCGTTTTTCTTTTTCAAGATGCAGTATCGCTGGAAGTTGAGAGAGAACTTTGAATCGCAAACCTTTCCCACGTTTGTGCGTGATGCATCAAAGTACTACTACACAAATGAACCATACAATTGGTTAATGAAGAACGGCCAGCTCTTCATGTTAGGTTTAGACCACAAAGACGAACTAGACGCCGACAAAGTCAAACAACGAATCGGTGAAATCGAATACCACTTCGATCTTGTTATGATCAACGAATATTTCGACGAGTCCTTGATTCTTCTGAAAAAAATAATGTGTTGGAGTTTCGAGGACATTCTCTACATGCCACACGATGCGTTTGAGCACTCCTATACCGGGATCAGCTCAGAAACAACGAGAACAGTCGATCAATGGAGTGCAGCAGACAGACGACTCTATTATCATTTCAACACAACATTTTGGCGCAAAGTCGAAGAATATGGAGACACATTTCAACAGGACCTTCAGACGTTTAGGTTATTAAATGCTAATGCTATCCGAGCATGTGCAACAAAGAATCCACCACATCTATGTACGTTGATGGCAACTGAAGAAGAAGATTTTGTTGAGGAAATACGGAATCATCAACAACAGCTCTATGGTTTTCTGCCCTAGAAAAGCGCATAAAACGATAGCAAATACAAGCGTACCTCGACTGAATAATCGAATAGTCGAATTATTTGAACAATATTACCCTTTTCCTACTGTCGTCACTCACAAACTTAATACCTTTATAAATCATAGTTATTAACTTTTTTTGAGTCAGCTGTTATATATCTATTATCTAGCCTAATACTCTAAGAAGCATTAAATGTTTGTATATGTGGTATATAAACATATCATAATTAACCGTTGTAAATGACAAGAAATACCACTACACGAATCATTTTCTTATTTACATTTTATTGTCTTTTGAACAAATTGCCATTCTCAATGAGGTTAGTTATGCATATTGATTATTAAGAATATTACAGATTTCCGGGAAACATGCGAGGTAAAACGTTCTGAAGATTATAATAGAACCTTGAAGGTGTTTACTCTTTCGTCTCGCTGTATATGAAATTGCATTGTTCATGAGATTAATAAACAGGTACCGAGCAGTGCTAATCAGTGGTAATCATAGGTGGTCTGGCGCTTTTGTTTCATGAAAACATTCAATACCCTCATTCATACTAAATGTAACTGACAACTATTTTTTTTATAGTTGCGTTGCGAGGCTAATATAAAGTTATCGTATTGTATTTTCTAGATTATTGATCCGATTTACTAGTGTGGTTTCAGATGATTATATACAACTGTTTATGTGGTATAATACGTGCATGGAGGAGCGCTTTCATAAATACAAATTCTCTGAAAATATATCATTGTTAACTTTAATTTCTGAATTATGTTGGATTTTAAAGTATCACGAATTTCAGTATCAACATATCATGTTTAAACACATTTGGTAAAATAAAATGGTGTACAGTACTTTGTTGTGTTTGCTTTTTTTAACCCCGAGCTGTGCTGACTGTGACGTCAAACAATTCAATTAAATCTAGCTAGCTAGCAATGGTGCACTCGTACTTTTATGCAGATTTAATCGCTTACTTGCAATCTGTGGATGATAATGAAGACATGCAAACATGGTTCAATGACAGAAATGGTAGTCCTAGCTCAACAAACGGTAAACCTGGTTAAATGTGTTGTGTCATTTTAAACAACATTTCCTGAATTGAAAATACCAATGAGATGAAACTATTTACAGTGATTCAACATGGCCGCACATTTGTCTGCACACTCACAAACAAACTGTGGCGTCATGGTTAGTCAGTTGTTTTTATAACTACGTGTTATGGCATTACAGTTTAGAAAGCATTTGTAGGGTACGGCACAGAAATAAAATAAAGAGTAAATATTTAGTCCAAACGCCTCCCTAAATGTAATTGCCAAATTAAATTACATGTTGTTGTTGCTTCAGGTATTGAAAACAATTTTAATGTTCAATAAATTAAAATTCACCAGTTTAGCTGTACGGAGCTTTACAGCATCCAGTGTAAAGGTGATCGATCACCGTAATTACAAGGCACTAAGCCAAAACTATATTGTGGTTATTTGAACATATATAAGGGCAGTAATTAATAATCAAAAGTCTTCGGTGAAAAGTCTTTTGTAAGGAATTGTGTTACATTTTCATTTCATAAATGACTTTCATTTCGCAGTAAGAAAAAACTTTAGTACAGACTTCTGAACCATTGGTTACCCTACAGTTAGTTAAAACTTTGCACTTGTTTTTTATGTTATCAAAGACCTAAATTAATTATTATTCAATTTCAATCGTGAATAAATGCGGTTTGGGTATAGGCATTCTGGTGTTAGCAGTTCACTGTAAGCACACCGCGCTGTCAGCCTGGTATACTAATACTTATGTGTACGGATATGAAAACACAGTTCTTCAACTTATAAACATTCGTATTGTATTTCGGAAATGGTAAAAATATCTATTCGAGCGTGTGTGTGTGTCAAGCTGACGTCACAATCGACTATGCCTCTCACGTGTTTTTTATAATTAAAAATCCTACATCATTCTGTTACGTGTTACATGTGCTTTATAAATAGTGTCCACGATGATCGGGCTACATCACATACTCACAGTCACTACAATTGTGTATTTGTTTCTCGGCTTAGAACAGACATCTGGCGTTGCCGAAGGGTAAGTTAATCATAGAGTATGCACGCATTCACCCCAGGATTCATAGAAATACTCTTCATTCATGTTGACATATTAATAACATTTCAATATGTGAAACGCATTCTCATTGTAGACGGAATTCACGGTTAACTGTCACAGACACCATTCTTTAATGTTAAGATGAGAGTTTTAAATGATTGAATACGATGTAAAATGGCAGGGGAAAATAACTCCAAAATATGAACCTAACAAATATACGCGAATAAATGCCAAATAGTATTTTACACTACAAGAACTGCAAAACTTAAAAATTGACAGATGTGTAAACACATTTTCCGACAAATAAAAATGTTGAGATGATTCGAGACAATCATGGAAATTATGAACGCAGAACACAATGAGGATGAGTAACGTTTTTATTCTTACAATTTTAGCTCAAATGTCGACGTAAACTCATGTAATCATCGCCAGTCAGTAAGTAAAGTTGAATCCTATTTAGTTAAGACTCAATATACCGAAAACTACAAAACCAAGTGCAAGTTGTTCAAATGGGGTCGCTGTACAAGATACAGGTATGTTGAATCGTTGCTGTGTAGGTTTTGAATACATTACTGTACACATTATCCAGTATCGTGGGAAGCTTACTCAGACTAATCCCTGATCCATCTATAAAACACTAGGACGCGTTACAGAAATGAACAGAAATATCGAACTGTTTACGAGTACACGTACACCAAACGCGACTGTAGAGGATACTGTGCAAACTATGGCTGTCATGGTAAGTTTTAATGTAATAATTAGTTGAAATTTAGTTGAAAAGATCATTCCACCATTGCAATTATGTGTAAAATATTTGGAAAAATGTGTGAACGCACTCTTATTCAAAGAAAAATACATTCCGAATTCCCGGTTCTGGTTTTAATCCGTTGTCAGAAAGCAAACTTGCTTCCGGAATAATAAAATCAAATAATAACGGGTCTTAACGCCTTAAGGTAGAGATGCAGGTTCGTGGGCACTTGGAAGTGAATTTTTTTTTGCTATTTATTATCCAAACAGTCTTGGCTATAGACTGTTATAATTTTGTAGAATTGTGAATAGTGGAACATACTCAAAAAAAGTTTTTAAAATATAGATAACAGGTGCAAACATTCTCTCTTTTGAATGCTTAGCAAGATTTAGCAAGGCTGTACATAAATAATAAAAAAGAAACATGGTGAAAAAAAGAAATGACGGGATCTCCATATTATGCACTATATTTAACCTTTAACAAAACGATAATACATTTAAATTTAGAACTGTTACAGCCATTTTAATTATGAGCATTAGCAAACTTCTTACTGAGTGAATTGTTATGCAAATTAGCAATTATCTCAGCTTCTTTTTAGTGCACATCCCAGAACTTAAAAAAAAATAGCTCCTAGACGCTTTGACCTTTTGTTTAGAAATTTTCACAAATGATTGACAATGTATTTATCTTCAGAACGCCGTCGGGGCATTGTTTTTGGTTGAACAGTGTTACAACAATCGTACAGACAACTAGCCTGGGTGTTAATTTATGCATAAAATTGAAATAGTGAAATTAGAGCTGCTGCCCTGCAAAATTGACAACTGGTAGACAGTTTTCAAGACGGTA